ATCAATGTTTCTCTCACACTGATGTTTCTATCTCTCGCTCCCTTCCTCTCTCTCTAAAAAAAAATTATATAAACTTTTTTTTTTAAAGAAGAGCACTTGGGCCTGCTGAGGACTGACTTTCATCACTTGAGCTCTGTTAGAATCATTGTGGCTCCGCGTATGAGCCAATAGCGTGAGCCAGGCAGTGCCAGGCACCCTCTGGCTGTAAAAACAGCCCCCAGAGAGAGAACAGAATCCCTGGAACCTGTGAATGCTGCCTTAGTGCGGATGTGACAAAGCCGAGGTTCTTGAGATGGGTTATCTTGGATTACCCAGCTGGGCCCTAAATCCTGACAAGCATCCTTGTAAGAGAAAGGCATGGGGAGATTCGAGACCGGCAGGAAAGGCCACGTGAGGACAGAGGCACAGACTGGAGTGATGCAGCCACAAGCCAAGGATGCCTGCAGCCGCCAGGAGCTGGAAGAGGCCAAGAACGACCCTCCCCTGGGGCCTGCGGAGGGAGCCCGGCCCCGCGGACACCTTGATTTGGGACTTCTGGTCTCCACAACTGTAAGAGAATCCACTGCTCTTGTTTTAAGCCACCTTCTTTGTGGTAATTTGTTATGGCAATGTTATAAAACTAAAACCGGTACTTAATATACTAGTACCAAATTACCTCATTTGATCTACAAACCCGGTCTGTCATCCCTATTTCACAATAAGGGTCATGAAAGTTAGCCAAGACTTGCTAGAAATGCCGATTCCTCTCTCCTTGCTCACACTTCTTTTTTTTTTTCTTTTTTTTTTAACTTAAAAATTGTTTTAAATTATTTTTAATTACAGTTTGCATTCAATATTATTTTGTATTAGTTTCAGGGGTACAGTATAGTGGTTAGACAATCATATACTTTGCAAAGTGCCCCCCCCATATTTCCAGTACCCACCTAGTCCCATTCAGTTATAACAATATTATTGAATATATTCTCTACAACTACCAATTCCTTCTCAGAGGACCCCCCCCCAGAACCATGGGGGCCTCTTCCCTGCTGCCGAAGAGTCAGTGTCTCTCTCTCTCTCTCTCCCCCTCCTTCCCCCACTTTCCCTCCCCTCCTCCCTCTCCCCCTCCAGTCTGAACCCAGAGATTCTAGGTAAACGGTACTGAACTGAAAGAAGTCCCACTAGAGCCAGAGACAATTAAGTCACCTCCCTGGCAAGGCAGAGGCTCCCGGAACTTCAGCTCTGGCGAGCAGTAGAGCCGTGGAGAAGGACAGAAAGCAGTCCTGGAGAGCCCCGAGGTGGGGCGGACTCAGAGAGAAGCAGAGGAGAGACCGTGAGGAGTGAGCACGCTGGAGACCTTGGCCAAGGATTTCCTAGTCCCCATGGAGACGATGACATGAAGACTCCTTGTCCTCCTCACGGTGAACAGCCTGGATTCCAGTCCCACCTCAGGCTTGACCCCTGTCCAGGCACAGACCGTACACACCTACCAGCACATCAGCTCTCTGCCCTTCCCTTTCCTGAGATCCTCTAAGCCCTGCCGTAATTCCCTTTTTAACCTGAACTGATTTCACTGAGTTCCTAGTCTGTTGTAACCAGCAATCCCTTCCCAGGACACAAGGGCAACCTGCTCAAGGCCTCAGAGCCAATAAACAAGAGTCAAGTTTGAAACCAGGTCTGGCTGGTTCCAAAGTCCATGCTCTTAATGTACAGGTCTCACGATTCATGGAAAGGAGTGTAGATGTGTCCTGCAGGGAGTGAGAAATAATAGCAGTTTCTCTAACTTCAGTCATTTATCGCTAAGCTAGATTCACATGTTTTAAACTCACAACTATGAAACTACAAACGAGGAGTCACACATTGGCTGAAACTACCTTTACAGCAGTAGGAGAATACAGACCACACACTGTCCATCCATACTGCTTAATTCCTTCTCTCCTTCGAAAAGAGGATTAAAAATGATCTCCGTGCAAAATGTCTAGATTTCCCTTCATAAAATGAAAAAAATCAAACAAACAAAATTATCAGCCATTCGTAGTCTTTCTTAATACTATTAGTGAAATATCTTTGTCATCTGTTTGAACACTCAGCTGATGTCTAAGCTTTGTTCTGTTTGGCTAAAGGAGAAACAGCCTGCTATAAATTAGTTGTGTTAGAGCTTCTGAAATGTTCCTCAACATCTACTTCGAAAGCCAGTGAAAAGGACAAGAAGTATATTTTAGATCTTAATCAGTTTCACTAAGATGACAGAAGGCAAAACCACAGACACCAGCATTGTTCCTAAGGTTTATCAAAATGTCTTATCCACAAGCTTCAAAGCAGACTCAGCTGACTAGGCCTGTCATTTCAGGCCACAAGCCGATGCAAACCAGCATCTCACTGTGATGGGGCCTCAGCAGACAAGTTCTAACGAGTTGGCCTTGCTCACAGAAGGCTGGGGGAACGTACGCGATACACATCTGAGAGCTCGCTGATACACGTCCCTCTTTATGTAAAGAATGTATGACCCTAACCCTCACCCTAAACCCCTCTCCCCACTACCCCAGTGAAAATAAACAACCAGGATAGCCTTTAGAACAGAGTCATCTGTGGCGTCAAGATGAGACCCCTTAGAAGGATCTCCACGGAGCTCTTTCCTTCCAGCAGAATAATCTCTTAATGTAAAAATAAAATAAAATACAAAGCCTTTTGCGACAGCGTAGATGGACCTGGAGAGTATTATGTTCAGTGAAATAAGCCAGTCAGAGAAAGACAAATACCACACAATCTCACTTCTATGTGGAATCTAACAAAACAAACCAACGAACAAAATAGAAACAGACTGACAGCTGTTAGCAGGGGGTGGGGGTGGGGGTTCTGGGTGAAAAAGCTGAAGGCATTAAGCAAAATAACAATAATAATAAAAACTCAGAGACACAGACAACAGGACAGTGATTCCCAGATGGCAAGGGGGTGGTAGGAGAGGGTAAATGAGGGATAAACGGTGAGCATGGAAGGAGACTTCACAATACAGTATACCAATGGCATCCCAATAAAGTTTATTAAAATTCAAAAAAAGCCTGCGGGCCAACTAAAGACTTCTTTGCCGTGGACTGAAATAAAATTGTCCCAAATCAGCGCTCGGCAAGCACTGGTCCAGGTAACGCTACAGGTGCAGCGTGAAGGACAGCGTTCAGCAACCAAGTCCCAGAAACACGGGGTTGCCCAGCCCCTGGAGCTTCTCACAGGACGCAGCACCGGGACCCGCCCACTTCACTTGATACCTCTTCACAGCACAGCCTACAGGACAGTGACTGGCCTGACACTAGTTTGGGGAGATCTGGTCTAAATGTTTTTCCAACTGCGGGTGGGGACCAGGCCAGACAACTATTAGATGCCTCCCCACAAATGGATGGATCTCCACGAGTCATTCCAGTGCGTGTGTTCAATACAATAAAATGCGTATTTATTGGGTATCTCCTGGGCATATATTTTCATCTTGTTCAGTGATTCGCTAGGCCTACTATTTAAGAAACAAACCACGCCCTGGCCGGTTTGGCACAGCGGTTAGAGCATTGGCCTGTGGTCCAGAGAGACCCTGGTTCGGTTCCCACTAAGGGCGCGTACCTTGGTTGCAGTTTGTCCCTGGCCCTGGTTGGTCATGTGGGTGGCAGCCACTTGATGTGTCCCTTTCATGTCGATGTTTCTCTCTCTCTCTCTCCCTTCCACTCTATCTGAACAAAAAATGAAAAAATGTCCTCGGGTGAGGATTAAAAAAAAAAAGAAACAAACCAGAATTCTTATCTTTCCAGTGATGCGTAAAAACAATAGTATTTAAGTCAGATCAGAGTGTGCTCACTTAGGACTACAACAGCCCTTGAACCCTTGAACTGGGCCTCATGTTTCCACCCACATCTAACCCAACCCACTGGGAGATCACTGGCTAACTAGTGATCTCTCTGGAGCCCAGATCTGACAGTATCGCCCGCTCCTTAAAGCTCATCCGTGACTCCTTACACAGTTCACAGTCTTGACGTGACCTGACCCCCTTTACCTTGCTGCCTCCATCTCTTAATGCCCATCCCCACACTCTACTCTCCCACGGGGTTCTCAACCTGGAGCCTGGAAATGGAATCCTGCAGATCTGCTAACTCGGATGGAAAAAAATCAGCATCTTTATTTCTACTAACTGCTAACTGAAATTTAGCATTTTCTGCGATTAGGAATGTAGGCAACAAACCACAGTCGTATGATCAGTATCTGTGACTCTATTACTAGTGGAAATTATGAATATGTTCATATCTACATGGCAGTTGTAGCCACTATCTCAAACTGTTGTTTATAGTTCAAAACAACTGGGTTTTAGACCCTTTGCTAGACGTTGTCATCTGATGTGTTCATAAAGAAGCTCGTATGTCTCTATATCACAAATTTTATTTTCAAATATATTGATTTCTGCATTTTAATGTTGTTTCCTTTATAGTCCCATATATTTAATTTTAAGAATTTAAAACATTATTTTGACAAAGGGTTCATAAGTTCCGTAAGTCTTCACCCGGTTGCCAAACATGACACAGAAAATATGAACTCCTGCCTCAGTTCGCTCGCTCGCTCGCTCTTTCTCTCTCTCCCCTACAGTCCTGGACACATGCGGCTCCTTCTCCTTCAAAGACACTTCTTTCCACTCCACCAAAACCCTCTTTGTCAAATCCCTCCTCATGCTCCAGGTTTAGCCGTCACTTTCTCTGGGAATTCTGTCACAATATCAAATCCTGTATTAGGCCCCCTCCCCTGTATGACCCGGAGCATTGTGAACACTCCCTCGGAGCACCTAGAACCCCGAATTGCAATCACTTGCTTGCATGTCTCCGGGAGGACAGACCCAGCCTGCACCATCCAGCACCTACACCATCACCTTGCACAGTGCCCGGCACGTGGCTGCCATCTACCTTCTGTCACGTCAATGAATGAGATGCAGTGCTACTTTCCCATTGCACAGTATTTGCACAGCTGTGGCCAAAAGAGCTCCCACCGTAGACTGACACCCACCTGAATTTCCGGTTTTCCATCCACATAGATAGTGCTGTTGTTGACCATTTCCACAATGGCAACCCCAAGGTTGCACCGAATCCCAAAGGAAATGCAGAATCCCAGCCCGCTCATGATGGCAATGATGTAACGCTTGGGGACACCACAGCAGTGGCAGTCGCAGAGTGGGGGGCTCTGCCCCGGCGTCTGCACTGGCCTTCCTTCTTCATTCAGCTCGATGTTATTCTCTTCCTCCTGGGTCCCATCAATTTTTCTACAGTGGAAAATGAACAGGCAGAGAAGAATGGTCAGGACTAGAGAAAAACAAAATTCACTCTTCAAAAAGAAAAAGTGTACCAAGAAAGGAAAAGGGAAAACTAAGTAGGATGCAGCCTGCGTTTTTAAATGTTATTATTATTACTGAAGTAAATTATAAAGACTAAAATTATTGATATGCTGGATATTGTGTTGCCCTTTGATTGGCATTAAATCATTACAATCTCATAACAATCCCACAAGGTAGATAGTGTTACCTTGCCATTTTACAGATGAGAAAACTAAGTCATCTGAAGTGGGATGCCGGCCCAAGACCAGAGGCTGTGACTCCAACAATGGGCTTCACTGAATTTCCTCCTGAAGGGTATCAATAGACTTCATCCACATTGCATGACACAGCTAATTCTTAGGTTTGACCTTAATATTAATGTCATCAAATCTTGCTAAAAAGATGTATAAGGGAATATTAATATATTTGCAGATTCTTTTTTTCCCCTCTTTTTCTAAGTCTTAATACAATGCTAGGTAGAGGTAGGTAGGTTTTCTATGATAGCACACACCCAGTTGGTTGTGTTTCCTTTCTTCCTCAGGTGGTTCTTCTAAAGAGGTGACACTCTGGCATCTTTTAACGAGATGATGGGATTTTTCATTGACTTCTATAGATTCAGAGTATGGTATGTCCATTATAGTGAATTTACTCTTTCCTTAAAAATAAGTAATGGGGCAAACTGAACACTATCTGTCCATTAAAAAAGGACCCATTGGCATCCTCTCACATATTGTAACCCTTCTGGCTTATTTTAAAAAATATGAAAGTCTGGAACTGTCAGGCCCACATTCTTTCACAGCTACAATTAGCTCTCTTGTTTAGTCAAGTCCCCACCAGTCCCCACTGTCACTCCAGCACTGCACAATTACACTTGCACTGTTGTTTTTCTTTAGTTAAAATGAAGAGGAAAGGAAAATATTTTTCATACACATATCTCTATCAGAAGTAAATAAACAAAGACTAGACTAGGAGCAAACACACGCACTCAACCACCATGCATGGATGCCTAATATCTTCACTGCCCCTTGAAATTTGAGTTACCAGCAGAGAAAATTACTTTTGCTAGGCTCTCTTGCAGCTATGGTGTTGATGTGATGTGTATAAATCAGTAGCACGTGAGTGAGATTTAGATGGTGCAGGAAGCAAGAAGAGAATGCAGGGGAAGTGGCGATGCCAATGGTGGCAGGTGGAGGAGGCAACCGGTCCCTCTGTGACTGCTGTGGCAGAACTGCTGGCCAGATCATAATTAGTCCTTTGAGGAAAGCAATGGTGGTGTGATTTGACAACAGGTTCTCTCCTGCCTTCTTCCTGGAGGTGGAGCATCCAGACCCAAGAGTTTCCTAACATACTTTACTCATTTGTATTCCATGTGAGCTAGAGTGGGTTTGGTTGGTTCCAACTAAGAACTTTGAATGACAGCGCGTGTTTCTTCATGGAAGTGGAGACTGCCTCTGTGTTAACATGTAAAGTGTGACTTTGTTAAAAAATACCATAGGTCCTGTTGCACTCTGTAGGCATTGAGTCTATGGTCCTTGCACTAAGGTTTAAGAAGCACATAGATGGTTTAGTTAGTGTAAAGATATGTAGGGCCCTGGCCAGTGTGGCTCAGTTGGGTGGGTGTCAACCTATGCAACGAAAGGTGACCGGTTCGATTCCCAGTCAGGTCACATGCCCAGGTTGGTGGCTCGACCCCCAACAGGGGGTGTGCAGGAGGAAGTCGATTAATGTTTTGCTCTCATGTTGATGTTTCTCTTTCTCTCTCTCTCTCTTCCTTCCTCTCACTAAAAATCAATTTTAAAAATCTTTAAAAATATATATATATATATTTAGGGAACTTTGAAAAAACAGAGAAAATAAACCCTAGATAAGAAAATATACTGCTAGAGAAGATAGAGATGGTTAGAAGAAAGAAGGCTGAGTCTAAAAGCCAAGGGGCCCTGTGCCTTGCATTTCAGGCAGAACCCCTGAGGTGGGGAGCCCTTAAGAGATGGTTGTAGGAAGGGCCTCTAAGGATGAGATCTTGGAGTTTGACTTCTCACTAGCTGGCTGGCAACGAGGACCCCACCACTGGTAGTAGGTGGGGTGTTGACAGTCCCTGACATGGGGTACCAGTGCAAATGCTAAGACTTGCACCTGTGGGGAACTGGGATGGAATTCAGGTGGAGGGGAGTCACTGGTCCTTGCAACATCTCTGGTGATGGGGGAGGTGTGGGGAAAACAGCGATTTCTCCATGGAGTTCAGCGGCTAGTGTTCAGTGCCACTGATGCTTGGAAAAGAGAAAACAACAGGATTCAGACGGTCACTAATTTAAAGGAAAGTGCAAGAATCAGTTGCTCCCTTGTCACCATTTAAAGAGACCCTTCTCTCCTGCAATTGGAGGGCAAACAGAACTGGAAGTTCAGGCACAAGAACTTGTAAAAGTGGCAAATCGTCTCTGCGTGTGGGCTGGACGTAAGAGACTTGTTTCCACAGAATGGAGTATGGGAAGCAGAGAGGCCCGACAACCACTGCTGAACCAAGCAATCAAAGTTGGCGTCACTAGTAATAAGTCATGTCAATAGCATGTGCCCTTCGATAGGATGTGATGAGAAAGGCCTTTCGCCTCTGCAGCATTCTTCCTAAAAAATCACCACCATAGTCTAATCATAAGAAAAAGATCAGACAAGCCCAAACTGAGGGACTTTCTTCAAAACACCCAATCAGCACTCCTCAGCACTGTCCAAGTCATGAAAAACAAGAAAAGGCTGAGAGACGGTCACAGATGACAGGAGATTAAGGGGACACGACGCTTAAGTGCAATGTGTTATCTGGATTGGATCCTGAAACAGGAAAAATTACATCAGTGGAAAAAGTAATGAAATTTTAATAAAGTGTGGAGCTTAATTAGTAATTCATTAATGTTGGTGTCTTAGTTTTGACAAATGTACCGTAGTCACATAAGAGGTGAACATTAGTGGAAACCAAGGACTAGATAGGAAATCTCTGCACTATCTCTGAACTTTTCTGTTAGTCAAAAATTATTCCAAAACAAAAGCTTAGTTTTAAAAAAAACAGCAGAGCTCCAGAGAAGGAGGAATTCGAAGCTTAACTAGGTCTCTTACACCAAAGCTGAGATCCTGGTAAGAAATGGGATCCTGAGAACCTGGGATGAGAAGATCCTGAGACTTGGGTTAAGGGACAGCTGCACTTGAACATCTAACACCTTAAATTCCTCAGAACCCTCTGGACCTGCAGAAGTGTCCACTTCTCCTGGTTGTAAGGTGCATGTCCCTCCTCTTGCTTAAAAATTAGGCAAAGTCTTAAATGGGGCAGGCGACTTACAAGACAATACTAATGCTCTTAGAAATCTTCCCAGCCACTAGACCAATAATTAAAACTAGAGTCCGCATGGGCATGTACTGGGCCTGCCAGTGGAAGACGGGGTTATACACCAAAGCAGCAGGATCTGACTGGTACCAGCAGGAAGTGGGAACGTGGGCCTGGACTGGGTCCTGAATGTACTGGAGGGAGACGGAGGAGGCATAAAGTTGGGTAAGAGAAAGCTTGTCAACATGAGGGGTTGGTTGAGTTTTCCCCCCCCCAAAGGATATGTTCAAGTCCTCCCCTCTGATAACTGTGTACATGACCTTCTTTGGAAACAGGGCCTTTGCAGATGTAATCAAGTTAAAATGAGGTCATATTGGATTAGAGTAAACCCTACTCCAATGACTGGTGTCCCTATAAAAAGAGGGGAATTTGAACACATAGGCCAAGTGCCAACAGAGACAGGGACTGAAGCAGTGTGCCAACAGGCAGGCCAAGGGGTACCAGCAACCCCCAGAAGTGAGGAAGGGGCAAAGCGAACCCTCCTCCGAGCCTTCAGAGAGCAGAGCCTGGCCGACACTTCGATTTCAGACTTCTGGCCTCCGGGACGGGAAGAAAATCAGTCCATTTAAGCCACCCAGTGTGTGGCCCTTGGTTCCAGCAGCCCTAGGAAACTAACACAGGCGCATTCTCCCATGACACAGGGTTTGACAACCCGGCAAGGGCCAAGGCAGTGGCTCTCGGAAGGTTAGACAAAGGAGGGATGCCAAGAGGATCCTGATGACTCTTTTTAATAATAATTGCGTACTAGATTCTAGTCATTATTGTGTGGTCAGGAATTATGGCCGCTATGGCTCTTTACAAATAATTTGAGCGTTTCTTGTGGTTCAGTAATTGAGCAGAGCACACTTTTTCTTTTTTTTAATTTTTTTTCTTTATTGATTTGAGAGAGAGAGAAATATCAATGATAGAGAACATCGACTGGCCGCCTCCTGCATGCCCGCCACCGGGGATCAGGCCCACAACCTGGGCATGTGTCCTGACTGGGAATCGAACCAGCAACCTCTTGATGCATGGGTCAATGCTCAGCGACTGAGCCACACCGGGCAGGTGAGCAGACCACACCTTTGAAGTGGATTTGACCATCAGTGACGTCTGCCTTTCAATCTGCCCATGAGTGACTTTCCCTTCGAACAAGAACCTGAAGATGGGGGCCTGGTGAAGTCAGATCATGGTTTAACAAGTGGATCCGACAGCATTCCTCTTGCCGTTTATACTCATTTTGAAGAGAGACGACCCAAGGATGCTACAGGAGTATTCCTCCTTGGGACCACTTCCTCTCCTTTCCTTCATTGTTCAATAAACCTAAATTATAGGCTTCTTTCATTTTTTAAATGTATATTATAACTACTGAATTTAGGTGGACCACACAGATGAATCAGTGAGAACTAAACTGCCTCTCCTCTATTCCTGTAGCTAAAAGTCCGATGTCTATTACTTGGAACATAAAAATCCATGACATGTTCTCATGTTGATCATACTCTTCAATAAATTGGTTTCTCTCTGTTTTGTTTCTTTTAAAAAAAAAAAAAAAGCCATGTCAATGGGGGGAAAGGAGAAACATCTATAACAAAAATAAATTAAT